GGCCCCGAGGATGCAGCTGAGGCTGAGGAGGCCGTGTACGAGGAGATGCCCGGTGACAGGATGGAGCTGAGCCAGCGCCTGGCCGTGGAGGAGCTCCTCAGCACCGAGGCCAGCTACGTGCACAACATGCAGCTGTGTGTGTGTGACATCCGGGCTCACCTCCAGGACAAGCAGGTGACACGGGGCACCCCTGCCAGGGGATCTCTGTGCACAGCTCTGAGATGCCCAAATCACTGCAGGTGCTCCTCCCACCTCCCTGTGCTCCCTCACCAGCCAGCCTCTGGGGTTGGAGGGACCCTGGGTCTGACCCAGTACAGCCACCCTGGGAGCCCAGCCAGGCCTCAGCATCCCAAAGCCTCCTGAAACACAGCATCACTCCCTGGGGTGTCCCACGGGGCAGGTACAAGGTCACCAGCAGTGCCTCTAGAGCACCTGGTCCATCTCTGATGGATCTGGCTTAGCCTGGGGCATCTTTGTTCCCTTCAGCTGCCCGAGCTGGACCTGGAAGGACTCTTCTCCAACACCGACGACATCCTCCATGTGTCCAGGCGCTTTCTGAAGGGGCTGGAGGACACGCCTGGCCAGGGGCAGGAGCAGCTGCTTGGCATCAGTAAGTGGTGCAGTGCCATGGCTGCCCTGTGCCCTCCTGTGGGGGTGTGCCAGCCCAGCCCCTGCCCTGGCACCTCCTGCTCCTGCCTGGGCTCTGGGAAGCGCTGGTGCCACCATGTCCACCCAAGGCTGAGCTGCCCAGCCTGTGGGGTGATGGGCACAGCACCAGGCCCAGCTTAGCAGGGTGCCCAGGGGGCAGAGCCCTGCCCTGGCACGCTTGGCATTGCTCCATTGGCTTTGTCCTTCCAGCAGGCTGGGATAAAGCCCTGCCTTGTCATGGGAAGGGACCCTCCTGTCCAGCCCCTCTCTCCCTCCCCAGGCACGCTGTTCCAGGAGTTCAAGGAAGAGATGGAGGCTGTCTACAAGATCTACTGTGCCAGCTACGACCACGCCCTGCAGCTGGTGGAGAGCTACCGCAGGGACCCCCGGCTGCAGGAGGAGATCCTGGACACCCTCAATGCCACCGTGTAGGTCCCTCTGCCGAGCCACCACCTCCCTGTGCCTGTTTCACATCCTGCCTTTGCCCTTCTCCTCTCTGGACAAGCTGCCGGCGTGGGTCTGTGTCACCAGGCTGGCCATGTCATATCATGGCCACCAGCTTTGTGGCATTTCCTGGCAGCCTGTCCTGGACCCTTGGGTCAGAATCTTTTATGATGGATCCCAAAAGAAGGGATGGGTGATATACAAGCTGCTGCCTTCCCCAGAGAGGGCACAGCCTCCCCACATGGACCAGAGAGACACAGGCTGGCCCTAGGGGACCTGAACTATCAGGGGGGTCACAAACACTGTCAGAGGCAGGAGGAGCAGCAGTGGCAGGGGAGCAGCTCCTGGGATTCTGCCTAGAGCACAGACAATGTGATTCCCAAAAGAGAGATGGTGCCTTCCTGTGGGTGGGAAGGAGACACTGCCAATGCCTTCCCTCCCTGCTGCCCACTGATCCCGTGCCCACGGCTGGGTGAGCACAGAGCTGCCCAGGGAGGCAGGATACCCACCCAGGGCTGGCACTGCCTCAGGGCTGGCAGGGACAGTCCCCTGCAGCTGGAGGGCGCAGCCAGAAATGCCCCACAACATCTGGGCTGCTCTGTCCCTCAAACACTCCCAGAGAAGCCATGGAGAGCAGCAGGGCGGGAGGGCAGCCCCGCACACCAGCCCTGAGCAATTCCTCTCCCCACCAGGCCTCACACGGGCGCCTCAGACCTCAGCTTCTTCCTGGTGATGCCCGTGCAGAGGGTCACCAAGTACCCTCTGCTGCTGGGGAAGATCCTGGAGAACACCCCGAGCAGTGCCAGTGCCCACTCAGCCCTGGAGGCAGCGGCTCGTGCCATGGCCCAGGTCAATGCCAACATCAACGAGTACAAGCGGCGCCGCGAAGTGGGTGAGTGGCCAGGCCTTGGTGCAGGAGGGGGCACAGCACCCAGCACGACCCCAGTGGTCTCCTGGGCTCTAATTCCCACCTAAATCAGTTCAAAACTCTCCTGCCCTCCACTTAATCCTGCTGCAGACTGTGCAGGCAGCTCCTGGAGCTGCTCTGGTCCTGTCAGTGCCACTCTGAGCAAGACCAAAGGGCTGCAGGAACAGGGTGGCATGAGGGGGCTGAGGACTAAACCAGTCTGTCCACATTCCTGCGGCTGGAGAACGGGGAATAACACTTCTGCCCTTGGGACAGGAGAAATCAGGCTCCCCAGAGATGGGAGCTCACCTTTCTCTTTGGTTTTCCTAGTCCTTCCCTTCTTTGATGTGGCTCGTGCTTATCCTGCCGATCAGCCCTTGTGCTGCTCACCTTCCTTGCCTGCTCAGCCATGAAGTCTCCTCTTCTAATCTTTTTTTTCCCCCCTTATTTTGTGTCCTCCCACCCGAGGCAGCAACCAAATACACCAAGGCCGAGCACCTGACGCTGCGGGCGCGCCTGGCGCGGCTCAACACGCACTNCATGGACAGGGATGCTGGCAGTCTCAATAGGGACAGGGATGCTGGCAGCCTCTGTAAGGACAGGGGTGATGGCAGCCCCCCATAGGGATAGGGATGCCCGCAGCCCCCGTAGGGACAGGGCTGCTGGCGGCAACCGAGGCAGCAGTGACAGCTCAAATGCGGGAAGCTGCCTGGGAGGGGGGGCTGGGAAAACGAAACCTGCTCCTGCGCTGTCTGCCTGCTCCAACGCTGCCCAGAAATGCTGCAGCTTCCTTTTGCACTGTCCCCTTGTCCCTCTGAGGTGTCAGGCCAGGGGGGTGAGGGGAGACAAGGAGGTTTCTGCAGCCTGGGGTAGCCCCCAGAGCAGCTCTGTGCCCTGGGGATGCTGCAGGGACCAGGGACACCCCAATACTGGCATGCCCTGAACTGCAGGGTGCCCCTCCAGGGCTCAGGGGTGTCTCAGATGGGGCCTTTCCACCTGCCCTCACTGAACTGGGGGTTTGCTGCCACCCAGGCGGAGGACACTGGTCCATGATGGGAACCCCTCTGCCCGAACACCTCGGGAGCACCCAGAGGGGTGCAGGAAAGTCTCCTCCTCCCCATGTCCCATGGCAGCCACAGGCAGGACAGGCAGCCAAGTCCCAGAGGACAGGGTGACAGCTGGCAGGGTGACACACTCCTGTCGGGCAAGTGCAGGTCCAATGCCACTTTGCCTGCTGTGCCAAGCCCAGCAGTGGGCATGTGCCAGGAGGGGACAGTGGCCCTGCCCACGGCTTGCAGCTGCATCAGCTTTTGTCAGCTGGACCCGGTGGGGACAGGGAGAGGGGCTGCAGCCTCCAAAGGGGGCACCTGGCATGGTGCAGTGTGGCTGTGGAGGGTGGCACTGGCTGGGCAGGCAGGGCAGGGCAAAGTCTGTGCTGCTGCTTGTGCCATCTGGCTTTTATCTGCCACCTCTGCCTTGCCCTTGCTGCTCTCCTCCTCCGCAGGAGCCTGGCAGGAATCCTGCCCGGCCGGGGGCTGTCACAGCCCAGCTGTGCCTGTGCCACACCTCTGTCTCTCTCAAGGCCTTCCTGCCAGCAGCCAAGCACTGTTTGTGATGCTCTGGAGCTGCTCATGCTCCCTGGTATCAGTTAGAGCAGAGTGTGTTTCCTGAGAAGAAAATGTCAGCAATCAGCTCAGATTTTCCACGGCAGAGAGGAGAGAAGAGTGTGCTGTGCCACGCAGGGCCCTGGCATTGCGTACCAGGGGCTGCCAGTGCAGCTGGCAGAGGCAGCAGCAGCTCTGCCCACTTCTCCCCCATCCCAGTGGCTTTTAAAGCAGCTCTTGCTGTCACAGAAACATCTCTTGTTCCAGCACTGCAGAGCCACTCTTTGTACTTTGAACAGGACCCTTGAATGCCAGGCAAGGTGCCAGGCACCGCCAGCCAAGGCAGGGAGGGAACAATTGGCCCTGGCAGCACGGAGCTGCAGCGGAGGTGACAAACCCTGCTCTGCCATGGGGACGGGTCCCTGCACAGTCCCAGTGCTGGGTGGCAGCTGCCAGGCCCCTGCTGGCACCCGGGAGCCCCCTTGTCCCACATGAGGTCACCAGAGCGTGGGCACGTGTGTGTGGCACGTCCCTGCCTGCCACACGTGGGTGTCTGCAGCCANAGGAAGGAAACGGCTTGTGCCGAGGGAAGGAGCTGTCAGGAAGCAGGACAAGCCCATCCTGCAAGGAACTCGCTGGAGCCAGCCTATCCTGCCTCTGAAAAAGCAGCCTGGAATGGGAAATGTGCCTGAGGGAACAGCCGCGGTGTGAGCTGGCCGGGGAGGGGCTGGGGATGGGGTGTTGGTCCTGCCCGGTGGGATGGAGATGCTGGGAGAGGAGGGAGCTCTGCCCTGCTGGATTCCCTGGTGGTTCCTGCCCTGGGTCATCCACAATGTGCTGATGGGAGCAAAGCAGCTGTGATGTGTCCCCATGGCTCTGTTGGACATGGCAGTGAGATGGAGCTGAGAACTCGTGGCATCAGAGCAATGCCAGCCCAAGGGGCCTCTTGCTGCTTCAGAGAGCCCCTGGGCAAGGACTGAAGCCCTGCTGCCACCTGCAAGGGAGGAAGGACATCTGTGTGCCCAAGGCCACAGCCAGGTAATGCCCTCGCTGCCCAGCCGTGTGTGGGTCCCTCCTGTCACCGTGTCACTGCCTGAGCCCATGTGGCACAGCCCAGCCTGGGACTGATCCTGCTGGGGTGCTTTACCACCCACCCACCCTGCCAGTTCCATGAGTTTTGTCTCTCTGTGGGCAGGATGGGAGGCAGGCAGGACCAGCAGTGGGACAGGATGGCCCTTGTGGCAGGACAAGCAGTGGGACAGAGTGACCTTTGTGGCAGGACAAGCAGAGGGACAGGATGGCCCTTGTGGCACCAGCACAGGCTGGGAGCAGGTGGAGCAGGTGCATGTGGGTCCCTGTGCTGCCCTGCCCAGCCCACATCAGAAAGGGTCCCACAAAGGGACCCAGAGGGAAGGGCTGGAAGTGCCAGAGAGCTTGTCCTGGCCCACGGGGAGTTTTGGATCTGGTCACAGACGCTGCCTTGTGCTGCATGAGTCACTGAAAACCTCAGAGTCCTTTTCACAGTGACACCGTCTGCACACCGTGGGCCAGCCTGGAAAAACCCCGGTGCTGCCACCTCCTCCCTGTGGTCAGGACAAGCGAACAGCCTCTCTCTTCCCAACAACTTGTTTATATGGATGCAAACACCTCACCGAGAAAGAAAACAAACTTCGTGCCAAGCAGGCACTGGTTCCCCATGTCCGAGCTTCCGTGGTTCTATTTTCATTTCTGTTTTCTCTGTCCCCGTTCCCGAGGCTGAGCAGAGGTAAGGGACAGCAGAGCAGCGGGGCAGTGCCGGCACATGCCTGACCTTGGGATAACAGAGCAGGAACCCTGCGCGTTTGGGATGGGCTGTGGGAACAACAGGGCATCACTGCGGCTGTACCTCAGAGCCACAGCGATGCCGGGGAGACATGGGAGACCTGTCCCTGTTATCGGTGTCAGGGGCGAGTTTGTGCACCCTGCCCTCCCGGTGTGTCCCCTGTCTCCCGGTGTGTCCCCGGCTCTACCGGCACTGCGCACCGGGGGCCGCATGGACGGACGGGGGGCACAGGGAG